TTGTGAAACATGAGGCTCTTTGGAGTCCTGGGGATGTTGACTGTTTAATTTAAATCTGGCATTAAGTGCTATGCTTGCATTTTTGCCCACTTGCCAAAACTGCTTGGAGAACATCAGCTTCTGATGATAGAGCATTTGTAAATCTAAATCTGCTTCCACTCATTTCAGCTTCAGCTCCCTCTTCTAGAGCAGATGTTCTGAAAAGTGGGATCAGCGCCCCTTAGAATCACCTGAAGATTCCCCGGCCCCGGCCCCCGGAGTCTCGGGTTCTGTTGGCTCAGTGGGGCTCCGGAACCCACATTTTTTTAGCCCCCCTACTGACTCAGAGTAAGGCCACACTCCGAGAAACCCTGGTCTAGAAAGCTGTGGTCACGAACTACTCGTCTGTCTTTGGTTCAGGAGAGCCCCGCATGTCCTAAGAGACCTATTCCTGAAAAATCCTATCTCTGTTGACATTCACACATCAAATCTTATTTTCTCATTGATTTGCCTGATCATTTCTGGGATGGTTTCTCCCTATTTATCTTCAGTTTCAATAAACAATGAAACTGCACTTAGTTTCAAGTTTCTCTCTACTTATGCTCTTAAAGCAATTATGGATCCCAGGGATAAGCTACATGGTTATATTGATTGGTCTACTTTTTATATGTTGTCTCAGTAAAACGTGTTGAGGGAACGAACTCCTTTAGAAGAGTAGTTCTCAACGTTCAGCATGGATCAAAATCCCTGAAGCAGGAGGATGCTTGTTAGAATGCAGACTCACAGGCTCTAGCACTGGAGAGAAGATCCTGTGTTGGACCCAGAACTTGCATCTAATGCGTAACCATGTGATTCAGGTGGGGTTGGCTCATGGGCCAGGCCTGGAGACCCCCAGCTTTGAAGAGTTATTCTACATCCTTTCTGCACAACTGACAGTGTTTATATACATGGCTTGTCTGGATTCTGTATTTTTGGAAAGTTCTAAATGAAGTGTTCAAGTGTTCGACACAAATAAGAGAATATCAGAACCATTTTAGAGACCAAAGAATTCAGTGTTTTCGCTTTTTAGATGGGAAACTGAGACTCAGAGACATGATATGACTGACCCAAGGCCACGGCTTGCTAATGACAGAACCCGGATGGAGACCAAGCTGGGACTCTTAACCATAATCCAAGGCCTCACTTGTGTTCTGGGCCCTTCCAGGCTCCATAAAGGAGCCTCTGCATCCACTGACCCTGGTGTATAGGCCCATGTCTTCATGGAGCAGCAGATGCCACAGACCCGTGTGCACCTAGGCAGGACCGAGCAGCTGAGCTAGATGCTCTGTGTTTTCTAAGCCAGGGCTTGCTAGATTTTACGGTCCTGCGGGCCCCATAAAGGGAATGTCCTCAAGTTTAACAATTCAGGGGTGCATAGCGTAGGGCTCGTCTCTCTACCTTCCAGAGGGATGGAAACTTCTAGAGATGCTGTGACGAAAGAGGGGAATGACCATATTTTTTAAACTGGGTGGTGGGTACGTGAGGAGTTCATTTTGTTATTATTACTCCTTCAACAATATAGCCCCATGATATTTACTCTTGTGAAATTATTTCATGCTATGCATATTTTAAAATAACCTATTTCATGATGGAAAATGTAAAAAGCAAGCAAGGTGTGAGAGGGAAGGAAAAGATCAGAAGCAAGGTGACGTAGACACTTGACAGAAGTCTTGGAGGAGGAGAAGACATGACCCACATGGAGTTGGTCAGATCTCGGGGTGGTTCTGTGGTGGCATTTTGCTTCTCATAATCACTCAAGGGGTTGGAGGCATAGCTCATGCTATCCCCCAAGAGGAAGTCCAAACATGAAAGCTGCCACCAGAATAGAAGAAAACGTGAGAAAGTAACTTTCTGCCTTTGGAGTGAAGAAGGACTTTTGAATTACAACTCAGAATCAAGAAGCCTTAAAAAAAAATTGATAAATTTGACTGTAAAAAAAAAAATCAGCATGGAAAAATACCATCTGGACGCTCAAAAGATAAGAAAGTTGGGAACACCATTTGTAACCATACCACAAACAAAGGGCTTATTTCTCCAATACATAAATTAGTAAGAAAAAGACCAACAGGCCAATAGAAAAAAAAAATGAATGTTTTCAAAAAAGGAACTGCAGAAGGCTTTTAGTTATGCACTGATTGATCTGGAGGGACACAGGACACTCAGGAAATGTGGCCACTGTGGGGGGGTACTAGGCAGAAGAGAAACAGTGTGGGAGGAAGGTTCTTCACTGTTTATCTTTTTATATAATACTTTTTGATTTTGAATTATGTAAATGTGCTCTCTATTCAAAATTTAATTTAATTAATTTAAATAATTAACCAAGCAGCTTGTTAAACCAGTAAGTGGTTTTTCCCAACCTCAACTCCACTGAAACTGAACCTCCTGTAATGAGCACGGCCAAAACCTCACCCTTACAGGAGTGGGGGATTCTTTCTTTCTTTCTTCCTTTTTTTTTTAAAAAGATTTTATTTATTTAAGAGAGAGAGAGAGATACAGACCTGTACCTCTGAAACAAATAATACATTATATGTTCAAAAAAAAAAGAAGATAGTAGGAAGGGAAAAATGAAGGGGGGAAATCGGAGGGGGAGACGAACCATGAGAGACGATGGACTCTGAAAAACAAACTGAGGGTTCTAGAGGGGAGGGGGGTGGGGGATGGGTTAGCCTGGTGATGGGTATTAAAGAGGGCACGTTCTGCATGGAGCACTGGGTGTTATGCACAAACAATGAATCACAGATCACTACATCAAAAACTAATGATGTAATGTATGGTGACATAACATAATAAAATGAAATTTAAAAAAAGTATAACAGGAAAAGAAAAGAGAGAGAGCACAAGCAGGGAGAGGATCAGAGGGAGAGGGAGAAGCAGGCTCCCCGCTGAGCAGGGAGCCCGATGCTGGACTCAATCCTGGGACTCTGGGATCATGACCTGAGCTGAAGGCAGACACTTAACTGACTGAGCCACCTAGGTGCCCGCAGAGTTATTGCTTTACAAAAGACTCCTGCCTCTCCAGCTCTAGTTTCTGAGCTTAATGTAACAGCATAAAACGTCCCCCACATGGAAGACTGAGTATAGGGCAAGCCCGCCATCTGCCCAAGTTTGCTGGGATGGATGTCATAATTCTTACATGGCTTCCAGAAAACAATTTGTACAATTTATGGCCAGGAACTGTTTCCATTTCTCAACTCCTTTTTGTTCGAATTGTTTTTTAAAAAATGAGAAAAGAAAGAAAACAACACATTTTGTGCACTGGGTGACAGATGGATGGAGAGGGGGTGAGTTAGGCTTCACCCGCTGTTTCTAACCATTGTTATCCATGTTTGCATTCACGGTCTGTCCCAAGTGATAGTATATGTTGATAAAAAGACCATAGCAGAAAGAAACAAACAAAACTCCTATCTGGGGCTCAGCTAGAAAGTCATCAGAATTTCCTGGTCCCTACTAAAATCCAACATACACGCATCCTATAGCTTGGCGACTCCTGTTTTAGGTACATACCGAGAGCAACGTGCTCCCTCGTGCAAGGATAGACCTGGCTGAGAATATCCCTAGAAGCCCTCCCCGCCATAGCCCTGAATGGGACACTACCCCGTGTTCACCAAGATGAGAAGAGACGGATGACTTTGGGGCATGTCCCCATCCTGAAATTTCCCACAGCCATGAGAATGAAGGCCCGGAATGACACACAGCAGTGTCACACACAGGCCTGCTGAGCTGAAAGAAGACAGAAAAGAAAACATCCAGTGTGATTTCATTTACATGTGAGAACAACAGGCCTAAAGAATCGTGTTACGCTCGAATAAAACGTTTTTAAAGATCACCCCGAGCCAGAATGAGAAGAGTGTAGATGAGTCTGGGATAAGTCATGGGCTCAGCTTCTTGAGCCCCTGCTGAGGTACCGAAGAGATTCCACAGAGACTGAGGAGACAAAATCCTACCAGCCAAAGCTCCTGGAGAGCATACAGGGATGGGGCTTGAGGGTTTAGAGGGGGCCTGTCTGCCCCACCAGACATGAGGGGGCAGCCCCAGGGGGCCTGCCGAACAGGTAAGAGGAAGAGGCTGCAGATGAAGTGCCAGGGTACCTTACAACAGTCACGTCTCACCACTCAAGAATCTCTGACGACCCGCATGGCCCATGGAAATTCGTCTTCTCGATAAGCAACACTGCCCTCGTGAAAAAACTTCATTCGGAAACAGAATCATTTTGAACGGAACCCTCCCCAAAATGCATTTCGCACATCCCCGACATTGTGAAGGTCCTGTGATGAGTCCCATCTTACAGGTGAGGCCGAGAACAATGAGGCATCTGCCCCAAGTCAGAAACAATAACAGCAGGGGGCGGGGGAGGGGAGGTACACTCCAGCGTCGTGTCCTAAACTCCTCGCCTCTGCGCCATATTTTCTAGACAGTTCCTTATCTCGAGCGTGCTACGCTCTGCAACGCCAACAGGTAGACAGGAACCTTAGCTGTAGTCTTAGAGAGAATGAGTTCACATTGCTTTTCTCTCCCCGTTTCCTTTCTCCTTCGTCAATGTGATACTGTCGGCTTTCACACAAAGTTGCACCCCAAAAACTCCTACCTAAAATCAGAGAATAATCTATAGCACTTGTTTTCAGCTCTTTAAATAAGCTAACAAATTCTTTAGATCTTTCTCTTTGGCTAAGAAATCCCACAGAGTTGGACCACGTTTTCATCCGTTTAAGAAACTCCTCTGGTTCTCTGCATTTCAAAGCATCCTGGATTTGCTTTTCCTTAATGCAACTCAGAAGGAAGCCCGTGATGCTCATCAGATTCACAAAAGCAGCCCTCAACTGGGGTTCATCTTAACCGCAGCTGCTTTCCAGAAAACACAGGGCTGAGGGCAGATAAGCACCAAGGCAGAAAGAGAGTCATTTTCTGTGAGGTTTATGGGCTGGCAGGCCTGCGGAGGGAAAAAAAAAAAAAAAAAAAGAAAGAAAGCAACCCATCATCCTTACCCTGTTTTCAAGCTGACCAAGGCATCCTCCACTCCCTTCTGATTGAATTTGGTCATGTACTGATGCATGTAGGGGTAGTTATTACGAATGTTTCTCTCAGTACTGCCGTTAGGCACCGTGCCAAATCGGAAAGGTGGGGAATAGTCGTGAGGTCTCTGAAACTGGAGAGAGAGAGAGAGACAGACAGACAGACAGACAGGGCAGAGACAGAGAGAGAAGGAGGAGAAGTCAGCCACCATTCTGTCTTGTGTCAGGGGTTCAACATTCGCATGTCTTAGCACAGGACAGCTGAAAAACCATGCATTTCTCGGCTTCCTTTTTAATTTAATCACACCTGCCACTAGCCTGTGAGCTCTAGGCGGTCAGAAACAGCGTCTGTCTCGTTCCCACTGTCCCTCAGTGCCTAGCAACGGGGCTGGCTGGGTGTGCGAGAGATACTTGTTGGATTGACTTTTTCGGCGCCGTTAGAGAGATCAGCCTCGCGGTGGGCACACGGCCATGCTTGGGAGACGCTAACTGAGCTGAAATTAAGGTACTGCTTTACTCAGCTCATTTATCTATCTTCTGGTGAAATTTTCTGCTCTCCTCACCAATTGCTCCCTCCTCTGAATCCCATTGACAACTGCCGTCACCTCCCCCAGGAAATGATGAAGAGAAACCCAACATGTCACCCCGAAATATGCCTCCTTGGCATAAGGATCCTCTTAGGCTAGTTATTTTTAAGAAACAGCAGACACGGGAGAAGCTCTGAAGAGGAGAATTTAACCCTTTCCTAAGAGGCATTTAAGGGGAAGTTCTACATAGAAGGCTGTCTTCCTCTCAGTACCTGGAAAAGGAAGATGACTCAAACTCTAGAAACTCTTATCGGTGTTGAAGGCACCAACTTAAATCTGCTTGATAACCTCACCCTGGTTTACCATGCTTTTCCTGACAACCTCCCATCACTGGCCTCCTCACCCCAGCTCCCAACATCTCTTTTGTGGTTAGCTGGAGGGGGTGTTTAAGCTGGTGACTTGGGCCATTGTGGGGAGGTACTCCATTTTCCTGGGCATGTCCCATGTCTACAGAAGGTATCCATGCTGTTAAGTTTCTGTTTATTTTTCTCCTGTTAATCTTTTATTACAGAGGTGTCTCAGCCAAGCACCTAGAAGGGTAGAGAGAAATTACTTTTCCTTCCCTACAATGACTGTATGTTTCCATTCACTCATTCTCCACTCATCCAATCATTCATGCGTGCATGCATTCGATACTTATTGGGGGTCTAATATATTCCAGGCATAATGGCAGGCTCCATGAACACTTCTTGAGCTGAAGTTCTTCCTAACCATTAGCTTCCTGGGGATGCCCATGTCTTGTACGGCTCTCAAGCCTCCAAAAGGGTTGGATGTCCATATTCTGCTTCTCTTCCCCGATTGACCAATATTGTCTGTTCCCAACTTTTTTAGCGTTTGGGGCAACCCAACCAGATCTGGAGTCAAGAGTACTAGGTCTGAGTCCCAGACAGACAAATAAAATCTAGAGTCCACACAGGGCAACAGGTACAAGTGTGAGCTCAGGTTCAGAGGTTAAAAAGTCAGGTTCTATCATTTACGAACTGTGGGAGCTTAGATAAGGCACTTCACACTGCCTCCATTTGTTTCCTGTCTCTAGAGCAGAAAATATACCAGTACTTCCCTTGTAGGGTCAATGGGAAGTTCTAAAATTGTTAAAATTTGACAAGTAATTAAAATAGTGCCTGGAACAGAGTAAGCACTCAGAATTAATTACTATTACTTTTTATTTTACTATTAGCATGGGCAAAAAAGTACCCTGGGCTTCATTTTTCCACAAGATATGAAATTCTGGAACTAATTAATGACCAGCACTTTTTGAGGACTTGCTTGGGGCCAGCACTGTGCCAAGGACTTTACAAATGTGGGATCATTTCATCCTCAGGATGAATCTGCCAGGTAGCTAATCTTAGAGGCTCCATTTTACAAATGAAGAAACTGAGGCTCAGTGAGGTTACGTGACCATTTAGGATCCCACTGCTTGCAAGTAGCAGCCCAGAATTCAATCCGACATATGCCTGTCCTCATGAACCCTGTTGTTCCTCACAGACCGTCACTAGCAACCCCTCCTCTTTTAGAGAGAGGACCTTGAGACCTGCAGAAGGGAAGGACACCCAGCAAATCCACGGCGGCACCAGGGCCAGGATCCAGAGATGTCTCACACTTCCAAGCCAGCCTGTCTTCCATGCAGCTCAGAACTGCTGGAGAAGGTGTCCCAGTTTACCCGAGTCAGCTGGACCGAAAACATCATTCTTCCTTCCAGACTCACACTTCGTTTCACCGTTAATTAAAATTTCCAGTTGAAAACCATGTCCCCTACATCAGGCATGCCGCTGTGTAATAAGTAGTTAAGGGGAAGTGGCCCTACATGGTCCAAGTGAGATCTTCCTGCTGGTGCCTTGTGTTGGGAGACTGCATGTGTGTTTGTGTGTGCATGCATGCACACTAACAGCAAATGCTCTTTGCACTTACTGTGGCAGGCAGTGCCCCAACTCATCACCGAGACAGGAGGTGGCACCAGCCCCAGCTCTTGGGCACGGCAGCCATGGACTCTGGGGACGAAGTCTAGGCGCTAGAGCTGCTCTACTCTCCAGAGGCGTGTGACATGGCCCACTGGACCAAATGCCTTCCGCTTCACTCTCCATCTGCTACAGAGGAGCCATGTAGCTCTTTAGATTTCCTTTCATCCCTACCTCTCTGCTTTACACAGTGACGGAGACGGATAAGCAGCCTCAGGGATGAATTTCCACACTTCTCTGGCCTTGACTGTACCCTCCCCCACGCAAAATTCAGCCCAGCACTGAGATCCAAGAACTTTTCCCGTTACAGTCAAGGCGATCACACTTTTTAAAGCAGGACTCTCAGTACATGGGCCATGGACCAGGACATTTCTTCACGTCCACACGCACACGCATTCCACTTGAGAGCACTCTTCCTCCATGTGATATACTCTGACGTCATCTGCTTTGTTCTGTTTTGTTAATGGTCACAGCCCTTAAATTATTTTCATGACTCACTAAAAAGCCAGGACCTACAGTGTGAAAAATAGTTAGGAGCAAGCATGGCTCTTCTCTTAAATCCCAGGGCCTTCCACTGAGGACATATTCCATGTAGTTTACCAGAATGATTTCTAGTGCACCTTTCTCCCAGAGAGTTCTGTGTGCACACAGAAAGAAACAAATGTGGGCTCGAGCAAAGGAAGGGGTGATGCAGAGGGGTCCACGGTCAGCAAGACCACAGAGCAATGTAATCATGATGCCTGGAGGCAGGAGAACTCCCTGGGGCTTCTCTCTCTCAAGGCAAGCCCTTCAGGATGGAGGAAGGAGAGATGCAAAATATGGGAAATAAAATGTTTAGGGAAAACATGGCAACTGACCAGGACATTTCTTCATTCCTCTTACACACCCAAACCATACACTTATTAAAAATATCTGTCTTCCGTGGCTATAAATAAGGGACATTGGCACCTGGGAACCCCGTACCTCAGGTACAGTCTTCTCCTGCTGCTGGTGGGCTGCAAGCTTCTGGGGGGTCAGCATCAAACAACTGTGGCCCTTAGGAGGGAGGGGAGGCTCAGAGGCCTCTGCTCAGCCAGTGACCACCCAGCAGTATGAGCGAAGGGCTCAGAGATAGCACAACTCCACGGCGACACGTTCCTGGGCTCCTCTACCAAGGAAAGTTCCCAAATTCCCCCCGTTATCACAAAAGGCCAACCAGTGCAGTGGCACTTGAGACCCTAGAGGTGAGGAACGGGCTCATCAGGCAGTGATGCTGATCATGAAGGAGCAGGAGGGTGATGAAGAGGAGGGGAAAGGGCAGTGGAGGCGGGGAGGGAGGAGGGTGGAAGGAGGGAGCAGCTCTTATAATAGGATTATCTACCATGTGCCAGGCACCATGTGGGGATTACTTCTAAGCCTCATATCAACCTTGCCAGAAAGGCATTAATACCTGCCCCCACTCTTATTAGGAAATTAAGCTTTGGGGATACTGACATATCGAAGGCCGCACGACCATTTTATGGCAAGGTCAAGATCTGAACACAGGTTCATCTGACCCCGAAGATGACATTGTTCTTCTCACTACATTAACCTGCTTCCCAGGGACGGAGCTCCGCTACCCTCGTGATTGCCAACATGTTGGAAAGGTTTCCCACCAACGTTTCAACTTTCCTGTAGTCATTCCTAGGGGAACATCTACCCATGAATTTGCCTATTTATAATTGAAGGCTGAGCTCATCTGAGCACACTGTGGGCTTCAAAGGTGCTTTTCTCAGCAAGCACTAAGACTGCAAAATTCTTTAAAAGCATCCTGAACCTGAGTTGTTACACAGGTAATCGTGATTAAAAAAAAAAAAAAAGCCCACTGTGTACAGTAGTAAAATAAATTGATTCGGGTGCCTGGGTGGCTCAGTTGGTTGAGCAACTGCCTTCAGCTCGGGTCATGATCCTGGAGTCCTCAGATCGAGTCCCACATTAGGCTCCCCGCTGAGTGGGGAGTCTGCTTCTCCCTCTGACCCTCTTCCCTCTCGTGCTCTCTCTCTCTCTCTCATTCTCTCTCTCTCAAATAAATAAATAAAATCTTTAAAAAAAATAAAAAAATAAATTGATTCAATATAGATTTTTATTTTTGCAGACTTTCTTGGTGTATCTGCTATTAATCTTCTGGGAGCATTTTGCTTATTTACTCCAAGAATTTTGACATTTATCTAATTGTATCAAACATTTAATTAAAAGAGCTATCCACTAATGCTCTGAGCTTGGAAGCCGAGCTGTGTTCCATGAGGATGTGGTATCTGTTACTAGGTGTCTCTGAGTCAGAGAAGGTCAAATTATTAGTGGTTCTAATTAGTTTTCCCACAAGCGGTCATGTTATTTAAATCCAAAACTATGTGGCAAGTGATTGCTTTCTCCCCTTGCCTTTGGAAATAGCAACAAAAAGCAAAATGGGCTGCCCACTACTTTCTTGAAAAACCCTTCGCCGAGGACGGAGCCCCCACTGCTTCTGCGGGACCTCCAGCTGCTTCTGTATTTTGGCTCCCATGGTGTGATGGAGTCGGGTACCGGTGCTTTGTGGCCGGCGGGGTCTCCGGAGGCTACAAGGCACGTTCACAACGGCTCTCACCTCTCATGCTTGGTCCAACCTCTTCTCCCAAATGTATGGGGAGGAATGAGGGGGCGGGGCCAGATTCTGTGACTATAAAAGCACCACAAAGTCTCAGCTTCTGAGCAGAGTCTCACCTTCCACCTGATCCTGCGGGGAGCTCCGGAGAGTAAAGCGTACCCTGGGTTGGCCCCGCCTGGATGCAATGGGGCGGCTGGGGTTTTGGGCTCTCACACTCGTTAGTTCTTGGTTAGAGGTAACTGAAGGGACTGGGGGCACTCAAATCTCCAGGCCTTTACTGTTCCAGTACCCCAAGGTAATCACCCTGTGAAGATCCCTGGTAGGAGCCTCTGACAGCAAACGTGGGATGGGCACACAGCTGGAAAGGGGATGCCGGGAGAGCCAGACGGGGCTCCCACGGTGTCCTCCACACCACGCATCTCTCACTCAACACACACGTATGTCCTGAGCACCTCTGAAGTGCCAGCTAACTCTATCGTAAGCATCACCTTTAATCTCATCAGTCTTACCTCCTTTATAAACTGGCTCCTGCCTGGAATGTTCTTCCCCATTTACGTTTACTCACGTGTTGCCTGTTTCTTTCTACTAGAATTTAAGTTTCATGGGAGTATAAGCTCAGGCTCCGAAGTTCGTCATGGTGGCTGGAAGGCCTCTCCCAGGAGGTGATATTTTCCCTAAGGCCTGAAAGTCAAGGAAGAGCCAGCCACGGATAATGGGGAAGAACATTCGAGGCAGAGCACATAACCAGTGCAAGAGCACTGTGGTGGAAAGACGCTTGGGATACCGAAGGAACATGGTGGGGGGCCTCGTGAGCAAGAGGGAGGGAACACATGGGGGTGGGCCAGATGATCCAGGGCTCTGTTGCCATGGGAAGCAGACTGGCATTTACTTAAGCCACAGTGGGAAGCCATCAGAGAGAGGCCAACCCAGCCCCCGCCCCTCATCATCTCCCTGATGACAGGCTTTCTCTGTACCTCTTTCAAGCACAGCATATGGCACAGATAAGCGGTTAGGGCCTTTCATGGTTGATTTTCTATTCAGCACAGTTTGTTGATGAATGCCAAAAGAATATACGTAGACTTATGTCAGCAAGACATGCCGGTGCGATTTTATAAAGAGAGACGATTATCCACATACAAGAGACGGACAATCTTGGCCACGCAGCAATCCCCACACTGCTGAGCTTAGCAAGTCAGGGTTTGTTTGCTGAACCTAAGATTTCAATGGAAGGATGCACCCAGTTTACCTCTTTTCTTCCTCTGTGTGCCTTTCTGAATAGCCACTCACAGCCCACCCCCCACCCCTCGTGACATTCCAACGGAGAACGGAGACAGCAGGTGCGACCCCTGCCACCTTTCTGATATGGGAGGCGCAGCCCCACGAGGGAGGGCTGGGGATGTGCCTGAGTAAAAGGAGCCAATGTGAATGAAAAGCCTCTCTGTTCCTTTGGTGTCTCTTGAGGAGACTTCAGGTGAGTTGCGAATGCAGATGGTGGGGCTGCCTGACTACCCAGGGAAAAAGGAGCTGTCTTGTCTCCAGGAAGGCCTTAGAGACGACTTTTTTTCATGTCATGGATAAGAAATCCAAGGCATGGCGTCTATGAAAGGCTCGGCCAAGGCCAGAGAACGGGGAGGTGGCTACAGCCAAGAGCACCCCACTTCCTCCCAAGTTTCCCTTACCGAGGCTCGTAGATCTTCTTTACCATCACGTGCTCCCTTGAAGGGAGAACTCCAGCCTGGGCCCTCCCATGAGTCACAGAGCCTTGGGAAGCATCCCTGTCGTGATCCTATACATGTGAGAAGTGACCATTTGGGGAAGCAGTGCTTCCAAATGAGATCTGGAATCTTTTAGACCCTGGAGGGCTAAGCTTAAGGTTCTGTTTCTAAAATTCTTAGAAATATGCCGATTTAAGTTCAGAGAAAAAAAAAAACCAAACAAACAAAAAACAAAACCCCTCTGGCTTTGTGCTTTAGAGTCAGTTGATGGGTTTGGATGATAGGAGCCCGAATCGCACCCTTCTGAGGAGAGATCATTTAAGATCCACCCCTCAGGCGGTGAGGAAAGCAAGGTGACCTTACCTTTTTGTCACTGAGGCCGGTCACTTGGTCCACAAATTCCTCCTGGATCATGAAAGCAGCCAGGTTGGCTGTGTAGCTGGCCAGGAATATGACAGCGAAGAAGGCCCACACGGACACCATGATCTTGCTGGTGGTCCCTTTGGGGTTCTGCACGGGCACAGAGTTGTTGAACACCAGGCCCCAGAGTAGCCATATAGCTTTTCCAATCGTAAAAGAAGGCCCGTGGGGTGCTGTAAATAACAGAAGGGACTCTGTCAGCATTTTCTCCGAAGGGCTACGTGGCAGCCGCCTGCAGCCCCATCACTGGCCAGAAGATGGAATGGTCTCTCATGCTTGTGCCCCATCACTGCCCAGAACCCCGGCCACCACAGCTCCCTTTATCTTTAAACACGAGCATTCTTCCTGCGTTTCTGTCTGGCTGGATTCTTGCCACGTTTCTTAAGGGGAAATCAAAAATAAGCAAGAAAGGAGAAACAAATGGCCATGCAAAATGTGGGTTTGGATGAGAAGTCACGATAGGGCCGGTTGTAAATTTGGATTTGATTTCCATTTGAGGGGACCAATCTCCCTTAATAAACATAGCGAGCCTTACAAAACTGTGTGTGGGGGCGGCTTCGGTTCTCATCGGCTAATGTGCGGTATTCTAATCCGACTCTCCCTAGCACTTGCTCCTGCTCAAACTCAGATGTAAAGTGTGCACAGTAGAGGAACAAAACCAAATGAAAACCCTCTGCAAATGGAGACATCAAGGAGCAGAACGATAGAGCTTAATTCTTCCAGCACTTCACAGATGGAAGACATTTGGCTGCAGGTCATGGACCATGAGCTCTGGTATCCCAGCACTTTTCTCCCTCGGTGTAGCCTTGCAACAGCTAGTCCCTCTTAAGATTCTGAAATGTGCCTCGTAGCCATCTTAACTAAAGAGGCAGGGCAACATGGCACAACGTATTGGGGTGAGGAGTACACACACTGCGAAATGCAAGCGTTAGGGATTTCACGTCTGTTTTGCACAAGGGGAAAAAAATCAATGTATGCCCTCATTTCATGGGCAAGAGGTCTTCCTTTAACAGAAGGTTAATTTTTATGTCATTTAAGTAAATGAAGATGGGGAAAAATGATCTACTCAGACTTCAGTTGGCAATGCCAGCAGAGTGGGCAATAAATAAAGTGGCAGAAGTGAATCACTGATGGAAGGTATGAAGTTCTGGGCAGGGAGCCTGGGAGAGGCAAGCTTTCTACACTTTGGAGGCCAAACTGTGACTACAGCAATATTTATAATATCCCTCATACAGCACATTAAAGGGAAGGCAATTAATTCTGGTATGCTCAATCTCTCAAACTCTTCTCTCTTTGCCTAGTTTTATAATCTTCTGGGCTTATTCCCAAGATGTCAAGAACTCTTAGGAAAAAAAAAATAATTAGAGTCCATCCAGTTAACTTCATGAACTGCGTGATTTTATTAGGGATGCATGTTGACCAGGAGCAACAGCTGTTTGGGAATCAGAAATAGGTCCTTGCAGGGGTTCTGTCCAAGAATTTTGGGAATTCCTGATTCATGACTACTATTATTGAGCCGTGCGTAAAATCTTCCCCAGAAAGTGCAGTGAAATGTAACAGAAAGCCATACTGCACCAAGAGACAAGTCGCTGTTCTTTCTAGAGAGCTTCCACAGGCAGATGAGCAGGGAACGAGAAGCCTCGAGGTGATGGAAGGGCTGGGAGTTGGCGTGCTGGATTCCTCACTTTACTATAGTCTTCGAGGTGTGTGCTTCAGCCAAAGGAGGAATTACAGCATGTGACTGGCCTTTGGATCATCTCTGATCTTCCAGGCTATAGCCCTGATTTATTGCTTCTCTCCAGCCAAGTCCAAACCACCATAATCCTGGCTCTCAGAAAACGGACACCTTCCTCACTGGGCTCCCTCTGTCCATTGCTGCCTGCCCCTCCCCTTGTCCTGACAGAGTAGCCCCGGTGACCTTCCCACACCATACATGTTTCATCCTGCCTCTGCCCTTCATCTTGTATCACTGCCCACCTCCCTCACTCCCATCTTTTCTGTTTCATCAAGATCGATTCCCCAATAAGGCCTCTGCATTTGCTGTTCCCTCTGCGTGAAATGCTTTTCCCTCTGTTTTTTTCACATGACTTCTCATCCTTCAGGTCTCAGCTCAAATGTCATGTCTTCTGAAAGTTCTTCCCTGCTTGGCCATCTTATCTAAAGTAAGGACCCCCACCCCCTATCACTTCACTTTGGTTTCTTCCATTCCCCTTTTTCTTGAGATTTATTACCATCTGTGATTATTGATGTATGTGTTCACGTGTGGTCTTTGTAACCGAATTCTCAGCTCTCTGGGGGTCAGGAAATCTCTACCCGATTTACCATGTGATTCCCCTGTACTAGCACAGTGCCTGGCACACAGTACCCACTTGGTAAATACTCATCAGAGAAATGCATGAATTCACAAATAGCCCAAACTCTGATCCCACAAACATGAATACCGACTCCACTGAGGTATGATCACTCACAGAGAGCCTTCTCAGGCCCCACTCTGTTGGAAGCCCCGTATTGGTTAGTGACATTGCCCTCTCAGTGGAGGCTGACAATTCTCCCATTTAAACACAACATGATTATTCACGGCATTTTCACCGTATTGGGTTGATGGGAGATGGTTTATACATAATAATCACCACTCTTCAAAGGTGAGGAAGTGGGAGGATTTCAGTAAAACTAAGTTCCTAACAGATTCCCATGACCTACTGGCTATTTCCAATACTGAATCTTCCAAGTGAAAAGAGTATGTGGCAAATTCAAGTGCCTTTATTTTTGAATGGCTGTATGTTGAAGACCTGCTGTCTTCCATAAACTTAAGTCATGTTTCAGGAAGAGATTTGGTCCTAGCAGTGGCCCTTTGAAGCCATCCACTTAGACTCTGTTATGCATGGAGGAAAATGCACTCAAAAGTGATGTCATGTGTTTATGTCTGTAACATGAATGTTGGTTTGCATAGGAGCCTCTTCATAAGTTATAGCCAATGATTGTTGCCCAGTTCTAAATCTTTCTATCTACTGATGACAGCTTTATCAAGTACAATGCACTAAGGTCAGGTGCCATCAAGAGGAAAATGTAATTCTTCGGGGGAAAATACCACTTTATAATTATTTTTATTGTCAAATGAATGCAAGTGTGATTCAGTAATCCGGAGAATGTTCTTAAACTAGATTGTATAAAAGCCATTTTTCTTTGCGTAGACGGAAGGTGAGATTCACTGTGATTTTAACATTTCTTTTGACACAGATTTTAAAAGTTAATTGCCAGGAAAACTTCTTTAAATCTGCTCTCTTGACAAATTGTCAGTAGTTTCCACCTAACAGCTAGAGACTCCACGTGAGAAAATGATGAAGGGCGCCTGGGTGGCTCAGTCGTTAAGCGTCTGCCTTCGACTCAGGTCATGGTCCCAGGGTCCTGGGATCAAGACTGGCCTTAGGCTCCCTGCTTGGCGGGAAGCCTGCTTCTCCCTCTCCCACTCCCCCTGCTTGTGTTCCCTCTCTCACTGTGTCTCTCTCTGTCAAATAAATAAATAAAATATTTTAAAAAATAAAAAAAAAGATAAAATGATGAAAAGGTTTCACTTGGCTTTATCTTCTCAGCTCAGGCAAATAACCCACAACTGTATGGAATGACGGTACTGGTGACCCAGCTCCATTCTTATCACAGACTAGCGAGACAGTATAGGGTGATGCATTCTAAATGGGAAGCCCGTGTAGAAAGCAAATGAAACAGCGTCAACTTCGAGTTAGTGATGAGAGGGGTCTCACCTTTCCCTTTGGCTAAGTTTCTGTTGTATCCAACAGGACTGAAGTACTCGAAGACAAAAACAGCGATGGCAGACACAATGAGCAGCATCACAAACATCATCACCCAGACGGAGGCGCTGAACGGTTCTGTGGGTGAACAGGCCAGAGGAGTGGGACATGGTCAGTTGGCACATCCTCACAACCAGGACCAGCAGGAAGCCCAGAGGTCCACTTGCAGGCTCAACTGAGATACCCTCCCTGACGTGAATCTGATCATTCAAAAGAAGCTAGTCATTGTGGATTCATAAGTCTACACCATCCTTTGTTCTACAAAATACTTGAGGTATTTTATAAGGCTGCATATAATAGGATAAAAATAGAGAAGAGCATATGACATTTTCCAAATCAGGTCAAGGATAGCAAAAAAAAAAATTGGAGGAAGAATGCAAATAAAGAGGCCATTGGGTCCTATATGATTATTGCATCATCCAGGGAACCAAGGCTGGAGGAAGCAAGGGACTAGACCCAAATAGTCAATCCTAAGGCTTCTGCAGATCAACATGGGTTTTATTCTTAATTTCATTTTTATCCTTACATGCTGGAGGGACGATGGGCAGGGCATTCCAGAAGGAAAGTGAACATTACAACCTGTTAGAAAAGGATCATAAAATCATGGGGTTGACAGAAATATTGGAAGGTCATCATCTGCCCCCACTACCACCATGCTGCCCACCCTGCCCTCTGCTCTGGACAGATGAGATCTCTACAAGTTTAAAATCTTGTTGATGTTGGTAATGGGCTTAAATGCATTTGAAAAGTCATTTGAGGATATTACATTCACATGGTAGTTCAATGAAAAAGCATCACTTAAAAGAGTAGAGGCAATGAAGTAGTAGATGGATAGGTGGTTATTCCCCCCCCCACCCCGCCCACTGAAGTAGTTTACATCAGCTCATTTTCATATGGATGTCTCAGAAGGGCAGGCCAAGTCACAAGGTTCTAAATCTTAGAACACTCCAGAAAGTTAAGAGCATTTATATTCAGTCTGATTGAGGGAGCTGAATGGAGCCACTGTATCCATATATGACACAGATTTGCTAGAAAATCAACAGAGGCTAAAATTTTGAGAAATGAATCTATCTCCACCTGAATGCCTCACTGGGAAGAAACTGCCCTTGGATACCAATAAACTTATAATCCTTTGCCTCATAAGCAAACATTTTCTGAGGGTAAAATATAAGAAGCCCAATAACACCTCTTGAATAGTAGGCATTTTATTATTTTTAAATTGTTTTTCTGATGGAGCTAGTAATAATCATAAAGAACTAGGCTGGTCTCAAGCCACCTTATCATTAAAGTCTGTGACTACCTAACACAGCTAGAGGTCATCATAAATTCCAATTTAATGAGCTTACTACATAACAAGAAACTGGTATGTCCGAAGCTTTAACTACACTGGATAATTTAGAAACCGGAAGGAATGCTTTGCAATGCAGCTTTGACAGAGCAGATATGTTAAGCTTATCAGGTAACAACACAGCCTACTCACTTTGACTAACACAAGATAAGTTCAAACAAATCAATGAGATTGCAGCCATAACATATCTTCGCTGAAATTACCTTGGGTGATAACAATACTATGTCCCTGAAATCATTGCAATTTGGTAATGAAGTGTTTCCAAAAAGGAGAATGAAATGAATAATTAGGGGATTAAAAATAATGAATATTCAAGATAGGAATAAATAGTAAAATAATTCTCTAAGTCAGGTATGTTAATGGCATGGTGTATCTTACCAGAGGAGGATCACCGTGAGGGGTCAATGAGCATAGACATGGAAAGTGCTTGGTGGTGTGTGTTGCACACTATACACACAGTTAATTAAATGGAATAGTTGTTTGATTCCATGGTGAAAGCCAGAACCAGGGGTGGTGGTGGTGCGCTGTTCAGGGTCCTGAAAAAGGCATCCTGGTTTAAAACATGTGCATTTATTAATCTGCTAACTTCTTTTCTCTGCAGGTTGGGATAACATGATAAAAAATATGAGGGGGCATCCTTTCTGAATTCTTCATTCTCACGTCAGAATCTATAAGTGTGCAGTGGGCTTCATTTGGCAGCTGATGCATCCTAGTGGGGACACAAACTGTTCCAGAAATTAGGGGCAACCTGGATCAAGCAACTGATCCCAGATATCCCCCCACTTGGAAGTGACATCTGTCTCTTGATTTCTGAGCATGGCATGGGGATAAAATAATTCTGCTACAGTGTTCAGGTTTTAGTAAGTTAGGTACCTAGGAGTGCCCTGAAGGGTTGCTATTCTCACATACACCACCACCACCACAATGTAGAAAAGCATTGGAATAATGGTGAGGCACCATCTATAGTGTCTCAGGGGGGACCCGGAAATATTTTGGGTGACTCTGGATTACATCCTCTACTGGTTTAAAGCAGATACCACATTCATTCATGAAGGGACTTCAATCTAGGAGACTCTGGTCAGCATTTCTTTGGATCAAACAATCCAATCTGCTTGGAAAGTCTTTGGAAGTGACTGAATGGAAATATCCAAGAGATGCCACCTCTGTCCTTGAAGAGCCGCTGGTTACATTTTTACCCAGAAGCTCAGAGGCATTACCTGCAAGTGTTTCCAATGGGAGTTAATGGAGTTTGTGGAGAGAGGATAGAAAATAATGAAGAGCAATACAATCAGATTTTGAATGTTTGGGCTCTTCCAGATGACTGAGCCAGCGAATGGAAAAATGTAGCTTAGCATGGTTCATTATGACTTTCAAAACCTACAGATAATGACCGTAAATAAGGGGGTACACAATCCAATAGGGATGTAATTTAGTAACTAGAAAAAATATTAAGCCTACTGATGTCAAAACAGCTTTGAAAATAGTTTCCTCTGGCTACAATGTATTTTATTTTATTTTTAAAGATACAGTAGGAAGAGTAAGGGGGGAAAGGAGGCCTTAACTTCGCAAAAAAATACCTGACTTTTTATGGCAATGTTCTACAAATCCAGGTAAGATAAAAATCTAGGGGAAACTGGGTTCAGGCCAGATTCGATATCAGCGACCCATTTTTTTTATGAGCCAAGCTAGCTGATGGTATTTTTTCCCTCTCTGATTGAATTGGAAAAAAACTTCTCTCTAGCTCACTATGCAGATATGTCAACAACTTGTGAAAAGAAACAGATCTCTTGGGGCGCCTGGGTGGCTCAGTCAGCTGAGCGTCCGACTCTTGATTTTGGCTCAGGTCATGATCTCATGGTCGTGAGTTGGAGCCCCTCATCGGGCTCCACGCTAGACGTGGAGCCTGCTTGGGAATCTCTCTCTCCCTCTGCCCCTCCCCCTGCACATTCTCTCTCTCTCTCTCTCTCAAAAAAAAAAAAAAAGGAAAGGAAAAAGAAAAGAAAAGAAAAGAAAGAAACAGATCTCTTCCCATTCTTGCCCTGAACTCACTTCTTCCAACCTTTTCTTAACCTCCAGGGCCAAAGAGCCCTGTTAAGGGTCTGTTAGGGAGTGGGAAACCATGAAAAGGTGTGGTTCACACATGAGGATCCACCCAGTCATTGTTAAGATTCTGCATGTATTGTCAATATGAGTCGGCTGCATTTTTCATGGTGGTGTGAGGCTCCCTGATCGAGATATGGGTCCATTATCCATATCAAAGACACAAAGGGAACATAATGAGGTGTGTATCTGTCAAGAATGGAAGTGGGGAATGCATCATCAAATCCAGGGAGTGGTAAGGATTTCAACAGCTTAAATGGATTATCAAAAATGGAAATAGTAAATCCGTACGTCTCTGTGAGTGAGGGGGTATCCAAAATCCTGTTCGTCAATGTTTCACTCAAGAGAATAAAGCACACAGCTTCGCTGGATGCCACCACGATGTACCAATGAAGATGGTGGGGACACAAGACTACAGGCTGGGAGCCGGTGGCCACAAAATGGCTCTAGTCTGCAAGAGCGAGCTCTCTAATAGACAAAGGTTCTTGTGTGTGTGTGTGTCTGGAAACGTGTAAGAAATTTGGCTGACTTTGATCTGTGTCCCCTCTCTCTGCAGTTTTCTTTTGGTGTCAGTGTTTGCCTTAGCCTTCCCAAATCTGGGACAAGCCCATGGATATGGGGGCATCAAGGAGAAGGGAATTTGAGTCCCATGATCTTCAAGGTAGCCACTCGCAAAAACTGTTGATGATAACCAAACACTCTACCAAGACTTTCCTTTAAAGAAAAAATAAATAATGCTTGGCTCTGTCCCATGCAGTTTCTCCCTCTCTGGACAGGCATATATACGTACAGTGCTAAAGAAAACAGGATGATAGAAAGTAGAGCTCCACCTTGCTCTAAAAAAAAATGCTTTTATGTCAAAACATAAATTTATGGAATAGTTAAAAGGAGAGTAAGGAATTTTCTCCCTTACAAACCAGTCCACTTGAAGGATAGTCATATTTAAAATATGATTCCATTCATTTTCAATCAGTGTGTGCTCTTCAGACTACCTGTATTTTGTTTATCTGAGTGCTGGTATGAATCACCATGTGGTCATCATCATTTCACCCTCATATCCAGTAAATAAACGGCTGTCACACCAGGGAGGAATGGAGGATGGGATTGATGATGCTGAATAAAGGCTTAGAGGCTGATTTAAATTAACCGTGGACAGGCAGATTTATTTTTTAAAATGTTTTCCAGGCTCTGAGACCTATATGTGCTAACCTCCATTCTATACAATCAAGACCAGTCACAATCTGAATATGTGACTGTGTTTTCAGCAGATAGTTCTGAGTCAGAGATAAATGACAGATGTTAACTGGGGGTTGGGGGTGGGTTGGGGAGGGAATTGAGATCATTCAAACAGGACAGGCTTTGGAATGTGCTGATGTCATTACATGGAGCTCACCAAGGTCCTACCTGGTCCCATCCTTCGAGCAAACAAAACAAATACCTCTAATTCCCTGTTAGGAAAACAGTGGTGACCCTGACGTCCACATACCTAGAAAAGCAGAAGGCGAGACCGTGCCGTTGCTTCTCGAAACCATGACACTGATCCCTGTCTCCACAAAGGGCACGGAGAAGTCCACCACTTCTGAGCGCTCCTCATTGATGGTGAGTGAGCCGACTGCCATGACCGCCCGTTGGTAGACCACCTACATGCAAGGCAAAGGAGCACAGAACCTTTACTTGTCCTTCCCACCATCCCCCCGAGTGCCACAAGCGTGGAATCTTAGATGAGAGCCTGAGGGAGGAAGATAACTTACTTCACCGATCATCCCGTTCCATACGTTGTTGACTTTCTTGCCATGCTTCCCGTTAGTCACCAGGTAAAGGTCATAGGTGAACTTCACAGTGCGAGAAAGCTTCTTCAGGATATCGATGCAGAAACCCTTGCAGCATTTCTTAACATTCATGCCCTCATTGGTTGAATTGCTGTAGAAAAAAATCCCCAAGACCATAGCATATCAGCACTGGAAGATCTGTTCACAATTGTTACCTAAGACACTTCCACTGTTTTCCATGTGGGAAACGGAGGCTCAACATGAGGGAGTGGCTTTTTCAAGGACAGGCAGTAGTTAATGTCAGCAGAAGGACAAAGTGTTCTTAATTGTGACAGTAACCATGACAACGGCTAACTTTATTTATTTTTTTTATTGTTATGTTAATCACCATATATTACATCATTAGTTTTTGATGTAGTGTTCCATGATTCATTGTTTGTGGACAACGGCTAACTTTAATTGAGTGATTATTTGTACCGTGTACCACGCTTCATGGTAATTGTTGAAATAAATTCCATGGCATTTCTCTTAGTTAATAGTAACTGTTTCCGCATTATACGGATGAGAGTTACTACCTCTTATTTTTAAGTTTATGACACCTACAGCCTCTTTAGACCAGAGTTCAGGCATGTGATCTAAGCTGAATTATAAAAGCTTATCAGAAAATGGAAGAGAGATGGAAGACATGAAATTCTCAGCTGAAGGAGGGTTTTGGTTTTTCCTATCACTGGAGATAGAGGTTTGCAACCAAAGAGAAGAAAGAAGGGTGCCTTCCTTAGGAAAGGCAGTTTCCTTCCTGAGGAAAACGTGGCTGAGAACTGGAAGACCCGGGGTCCACCTTGTACCTGAGTCCATGAACTTAATGTGTCTTGATGGAGTCATCTGTCAAATGAGGGCTCTTTCATAACACTTTCCCTCCCTCCCTACATGGCAGGAAGTATAAAAAGCTGACACTATGAAATAGCAATGTCCTTGATCAAGAAAACGCCCTATTAAAATATAGAGGGTACTGGCATCTTAAAAGCTATCATCATCTACCAAGGTGACATAGGTTGATTTTTGCCAGCCACCTTGCTTTATTTACCTGGCCAAGTCATATTCAAAGGACATATAAAAATCAGAAATGCCTTTAAAAAGGAAAGAAAGAGCATCTTCCAAATTAATAGCTGTTACTTAGACAACTCATGTGGGAAGATCAAGACCTTTCTGGGCAACACAGCCAGTCCACCTTGTGATGGGGCATTTATTGAGCTCAACAACCTGAGTCATGCATGTCATGAGACATGCTCTGGATATCCCATTGCTGGCGCATCCACACACCAGACTGTTACCTAAGCACTACAGTGATGTTTATGGAAATCCAACATCACAATAAGAAAATACTTCCATTTCCATATCACAGAAAAAAAAAGTAGGTTACAAAGTGTTCCATATAGAACAGTCCTAGCTATATAAAAACAGATGAGCTTATGAAATATCTGGATGGAAAAACAATGAAATATGAAGCATAGCTATTTTTGAAGGGTGAAAATAACTTTTTCTCTTTTTCATATTTTTAGTTTTTTCCCCCCACAAATTAACTGCAGTGAATATATACCATACACATAATTAGATATACACACACACATCAAGCACCACTGATGTCTATCTATGCCCAGGAACATGGGTAGATCTAACAGTGTGACTTCAAGTAATAGCAGCAGGTTGCAAAATGCCATAAACATGATAGAAATGTGTCCTAAGTACATTAAATCAATGGCATGTCCAAATACGATTTCCTTCTCAGTATCTATCTGTGGCCCATTGTAAAACATGGCAAGAGCCAATTCTCTTTTTTTCCCTGGCCACCATGGGCCACGCATTGATGCCTCTTCTCCAGCTCTTCCCATATGCCTCTCCTTCGCTCTCTGCTCCCTCCCTTCTTTTATCACAGAGCCTTCCTTCCCCTGGTTAGGATTCCTGGGAGAGTCTGGATAGGAGTTACGAACGCCCCAGACTTAAGATTCAGGGTCACAGGAACACGGTGGTATTCTTTGGCCTCACTGAGAACCTCAGCCAGTTAATGAGTTAATTATCTCCCCTTGTCTACTAAAACTAGGTGTATGTCTAGATACAGGTATATGTCTAGATACAGTGGTCATTAATGCATTTTCACCCAACAAGCAACCACTGAGTACCTACTGTAAGACATGGAATTAAATCCTGGGGACATAAGATGAAAAGACACGCAGCAAATGCAACAGATGAATTTCTCATGGGGAAGATGGGAACACAGACCAGCTTGTAATTGAAAACTTCCATCGGTTCCAATCACAGCCCTTGTGTATGCATGGAGGGGGGTGTGACTTGACTACACAGACATCTGAGAAATGGCGCCCAATGCAATCTTTCCCCACACCCCACTATCACCCACAAGAAAGGGTGACCCATAAAAGCCAATGTGGGGAAAAAGATCCAATAAGGAGTCCAGTTCTTCAGCTCCCTAGTGGATAGGATCACAGCCATGGAGGTCAGACAGAGCCGCTGCAAGGTCCTGGGTATGTTCCTAATAACCAGGAAGATGCAGACAAGTCTCTCCACTAATGAGCCTCAGCTTGCTCCCTTGCAAATTGAGAAGGCTGGTGCTTACCTTGCAGGATAGTTGGGGAGATTAAATAAAGTATCTAAAGCACCTCTCACATAAATGCTTAAGAATACACTTCCTCTCTTCTCACCGACCATCTGACAGTTTGGGGGATTAATCGACAGTGTGGCCACTTTTCCTAACATATCAAGCCAGATCACCTTTCCTTGATTTTCTCTTCACGCCTTAACACCCAACTAACAGATGAAAAGACATGCTTGATTTCTCAGCTCATTTTCTGTTCCCTGTTTTTAGAATACTGATGTGTGTCCTAAAGACCCCACCATTCACCAGAAGTGAGAGACAAAGGGTTTTCCCTGGGAGAATATCACCAAGAAAAATATAACCATGTTACCTAACAGAATCCTTCTTAGAACGAATCAGCCTGCCTCAAAGAAATGCAATTGATCTGATCTGTGCTAATATTGGGATGAATGGGTCCCAGCGATTGCCTATGGCTTTCAAAAACTTTAATGTCGCCTAGGTGTGCAGTGAACTTGTCAGGTTGCCAGGTGGGAAAGGGAAGCTACAAGCCCGCCACCTCCCACAGGAACCAAAAATGTGAATTTGAACCTGTTAGTCTGTTTATAGTCTCCAGTGAAAAAGTCAATTCTTTTAAAGAAAGTAATTTATTGGGGGGAGGGGTTCATTTTCTCCATACAAATGTGGCTCAGGACTCGCTGACCTACTGTTGTCAGCTCCGAGCCTTCTGATTTTAAAGATTTAAGGGTCCTATTACTGACTGTGAAGCCCCAGAGGCTCTACTTGATTGGCCCTATCGAAACAAGGAAGGCACTCTTGTCATAAAGGAGGAGGCTCTACTAAGGTAAGAGTCTTCGCTTTGTGCCAACCGCCCTGCTTTCTTCATCTGACCAAGTGGTGCTCAAAGAACACCCACCCAAATCAAAATCTCTTTGGACAACTTACTCACATTTACCTCTTCCATCTCCCGCCCAGCTCATCACTCTCTAGCACACCCTGGGTTTCCTTCTGTTTCCCACACTTGCCAATCTCTTTCCTTCCTCAAGTTACCCTTGCCTCACACCGCCTTATTTATATTCCTTCACAAGGTTTATCATAATATGGAGCTGTCCTGGTCTTTTATTGGCTGAATTTTTTTTTTTTTAACTGTGTACACTCCCTATTGCAAGATCCCTGTCTTTTGTCTTCTCTGTTCCCTGATGTATCCTCCATGCCCCGCACTGTGCTTCACACATGAACTGTGCTTGCTTCATGTTTATTTACTGACTAATCTATTCAGAATTCCAACTCCAATGAGGCTCCTCATTGATAAAAAAAAAAAAAAGAATCTTCTCCAAACTACAAATGTGACTTCATAATACATTTTGCAATCATATTTTTAAAAAATGATCTTTATCCCAGGCACTGAGCTCTCGGGATTTGCATCTCATATAATGACTTATGTTGGAATTTGGGATGCGGAAGGACCGGTATCCATTCACTCATGTGTTAAGCATTATCAACGTTGGTGTGACCCATTTCATGCTTGTCACCGGGCATACAAAGACTAGTAAGCCACGTTTCCGATATTTAGGTGGCTCCCCCTCCAGGGGGAAAGGCAAACTATAAGCCATAAAAGCAGGTGATAGAGAGATCGAGGGGTATGCAGTGAATGTTTGAGTTCCTTCAAAGTCATGTGTTGAAACCTTAAACCCCAATATGATGGCGTTAGGAGGTGGGGCCTGTGGGAGGTCATGAGGTCAAAGGGTAAAGCCCTCATGAGTGGGATGAGTGCCCTTAGAACGAGACAGGAGAGCTTGCTTCCCTTCCATCTGCTCTCCACCACAGGATGATAGCAAGAGAAGACAGCTGTCTGCACACCAGACGCCCTGCCAGTGGGCTCCCAGCCCTCAGAACTGAGAAATAAGTGTCCCTTTTTTAAAGCCACGCCGTCTGTGGTGACTTGTCACAGTAGCCTGCACAGACTAAGGCACAGAGACATACCCAGAGTTCTGTGGAAAGGAGGGACAGTAAACCCAACTTGGGGAGGGACTTAAAGAACACGGGAGAATTAGCCAGATGAATGGAGGTGTTTGGAAAATACTGGCAAAGATACTCTACAGTATTTTTTAACTCTTCCTTTCATGAAAATCCCCATGAGGGTGTGTTTTTCTTTGTGTTTTTACTAGAAAGACTAGAATCAGGGCCTTGGACTTGGTCATGAAGCTTTAGGCTTCCCCATAGGGTGATAGGTTAGGGACAAAACTTCACCAGAAGCTCTCACAAAAATTGTCAGTTCTTCCTTTGGTCATTAATAAAAGAGGAAATGGCACAGCTGTGACACTGGCTTGCTGTTGGTGAGCAAGGAGACCACCAGAAGGCAGGGTCCACGCTGATCACATCACACAGCCATACGGAAAGTGCACCATGACCCCCAGCTGGAGAGAAGTTTCCAAAGTTTTTGAAGAGTTTGTATTTGGGATATATAAAAAAAGATGGAAGGGAGGAGATGTGCAGGATTGGAGGAGGGAGCAGTCAGAAAAATAAAATATATATTTTTAAGGTGAGACTGAGGGGGAGGGTTGATTGAGCACAGGGGTTAAGAATATGGTGGTGGAGTCAGATGGACGAGCGGCTTGAGTCCTAGCTTATCCATCTATGAGCTGAACGGTTCTGAGCGTGGTTCTGAATCTCCCCAGAACTCAGTTTAAATATCTAAAATGGGCAAAACCACTTACCTCCTATTGCTGTTGCTGGAATTAAATAAGTGTAAACCACCTGGCATAATTCCAGTTATTTATTTAAGTCTTAAAAATATCTAACATTATAGATTATCATCAAGTATTAGAACAGCCTATTTTATATTACACTTTATTAGGATATTTTGGATACTGTTGTTGATGATACATGCTATTTTTAAAGGATTGGGCGTATTCAAGCAACAGCATCCCTGGACTCACTTGATTTTGACGAACTTCCGACATGGCACGGTGTTCCTCACGCACGTCTCGGTCAGCGGGTCTATGTCTTCCACGATGACAAAGGGGGCCTCCTCCAGGGTGACGATGCTCAGATGGTTGTCATCCGGCTCACAGTCTGAAAAGGATTTGTACCTCGGCCACACGGCGTGCCTCAGGCTCAGCGTCTGGTTCTCCCACTTTCCCACCTGCATCAGAAAGACCAAGGTACACCTGTGTTTTCTTGCAGTGCCGACTTCTAGAAAGGCGAGTCCTTCCCCCATTCGAGGTCCAAGACAAGAACCCTACCCATCTTGAGGGCTTTTCTGCTACCTACCCCAACATATATAAAGCTTCTCTTTATATGCTAAGAAAAATAGGGATAAAGGGAAAGCAAAGTACTGGGCGGACCCCATGCCCTGGCCTCTCCCCCGCTAATTAATATGGCAGCGGTGCCCACACACTGAGACGGGTAGAGCTCCCCAGGTGATCCTAATGTTCCTCCAGAGTTCGGGACCACTGAGGTCTCGAGGGAAGCATGGACTTTTAGAATCAGAGAAGTCTAGGCTGGGATCCCCACCTCTGCCACTTACTAGCTACACAAACCTGGGCAAGCTCTGAACCACTGTGAATGTCTGTTTTCTCCTCTGTAAACAGCACAACTCCACCTACTTTACAAGGATGTTATGGCAATTAAATAATACAGTCTGTGAGCAGCATACAGCACCATGCCCAACACACAGTAGGGACTCCATACTTTCTAAGTGTAGGAGAGATGCAAGGAGAAGGAGAAATTTTTAAAAGATGCTTAAGGGAGGGCACCTGGGTGGCTCAGTCATTAAGCGTCTGCCTTCAGCTCAGGTCATGATCCCAGGGTCCTGGGATCGAGCCCCACATCGGGCTCCCTGCTCCGCGGGAAGCCTGCTTCTCCCTCTCCCACTCCCCCTGCTTGTGTTCCCTCTCTTGCTGTGTCTTTCCCTGTCAAAAAAATAAATAAAATCTTTTTTTAAAAAAAGCAAAAGATACTAAGGGAAAGAGTGTGCAAAGAGAAAAATGACGTGAAAGAGCAGAAAGGCAGGAGGATTGACGGGAGAGTCAACACAAGGAGGACACGCACAAGAGGAAATCAGGAGCATCATTTCCAGCTCAGATCATGGTTCTATTTAAGTTGCAAATTAAGGTGAACTGTTATTAATCCGGTCCGGAGCAGAGACTTTCAGTGCTTAGCGTGCACCAAGGCCTGTCAAAATAGAATCGATCTGTTCCCTCCGAGCAGCAGTCCGCATGTTAGCGAAATCAAATTGAAGGCTGTATGTTTTGAACCTTAATTTTATTTGACAGCTTATTGGCACTATTCATATACACCCCGGAAGAAAGCTGCTCCCAGCATCGTGCTTCCTCCTTCCTCCCGCTCCCCTGTGCAATTGCTTGACACCACAGGTCAGTGCTTTATTTGTAATGCCAACCTCAAGGAAGCACCTCGTCTGAAAAGCTAAGTGCCGAGTCCAGGCTGGTCTGTGTTGACGTGACCCACTCACCTCCCCTCCTGTAATGTGAGTGTTGCCAAAAATGAATTTCAGGCCCGTAAAGAGAATTCAGACATGCTGGACACCCAGAGGGGTGACGGGGTGGCAGGAGAAAAGGCAGACAGTGCGCTTTCAGACTGCCTTGGAAAACGTTTGCTGTTTATAGTGAAACATTCCATGTGGCCAATTATAGAATTGCCCAGCATCGCCAATCCCTTCAAGACAGGAAGGGCCGTAGAAGAGTTTGGTCAAACAAACATGCTCATCTACCAATGTTGTGATGCGTAACACAGGCTGGGGAGAATGCTGAGCCCATCAAATTGCTCATTCACTCAATGCAGATTTATTAAACACCAACTATGTGCTGATACCAGCCTGGGAGCGATGATGGAAAAAACTGAATGGTTCCTGACTTCTTGGAACCATCAAAAGACTAAACTAATAATAATAAACATGCAACTTAGAAAAAAAGAGATAGCCAAGCTTTTCCTTTTGGGACATGTTACCTCAGTTCCTTTTCTTTCCACTTCTCTCGGAAAACTCAAACCTTCGAGAGAGGCTGGGTAGTTCAGCTGGTAAGAGAATGGCTTTTGGAGTCATGGAGAACTAAGTGCTGATCCCGGCTTCACCCATTTAGCTGAGTGGCCTCGGGAAAGTGACTTAACCTGAGTTTTATGTTATCTACAAAATGCAGATAGCAATAGGACATGCCCTTAAGGACCGTAGTGAGCTTCCGATGAGGCAAAATGTTTAGGAAGCATTGAGCACAGAACTTAGCGTGTAACATACATGGTAGCTGCCATTATTTTATTATTGTTGTAGTTCACATTTAAGACTTAGCTCAAATATCACCTAATCTGTAAGGGCATACCTGCCTTCCCTAGTAATATAGAACTCTGCGCCTGTCCACCACAGCTCTTTGATGCTATCATTATAACAGTGTCACTTTTGAGCACTCTTGTGTCATCAGGAAATGTATCTATCACCAGTGACTTTGAAAACCACAAATCCCAAGGGTAAGGATTATTCTTCCAACTCTGCAGTTCAGGGAACGGAAGCACAGAGACATATAACCTGTCCAAATGCAGCTGGGAAGCCGTGGAACCAGAGCCATACCACAGGGCTGTGTGAACCCAAAGGTGCTCTTATTAAGTCATCCAGATTTTGCATTCGTTATAGCTCAAAGACCCTTCCCCCCCTGGAGAGACAGCTCCCGGGAAGCCCCAGGAAACATAAATTAAGGCAAAGACCATTTAGCCAGCACTATCTTTGGTGATGTCATTGGCCACATCACTGTACCCTACACCGTGAAGTCAGGCGAAGGTTCCCATCCAAGACTGACTCCTGGGAGAGAGGCAGCAAAGGTTTATGGGTTCCTGGAGTGTAGCAACTCCCCAAGTCTCCCCTAAGTTACGCTCTCCCTTCCCATGTCTAAGTAAGCACCCAGTGGGTCAGCCGAGGAGGGTGGAAGCAAGTGGTGGGTGGAAAAACTTGAACAGAGCCAAATCCCCAAGTCCCCAAATCCCCACTCCAGGATTCTATATACCACATGGAGAAAAGAGACTTTCCCCTCCTCTGTGCATTTTCACAAGGGGCTCTGAGTCAGTCCAGCGCTTGTAGACAGAATGAAGAGAGATTCATTCACTCCTTAAGTATTTATGGAGTGTCCACTAGGTGTCAAGCATGGAATTAGGCACCGAGGAGGCTGGAGAACGTGCAATGAACTTTTTCCCTGCATGGAATTTTTACGCTAATTGGGAAGAGACATGAGTCCAACAGTCACACAAAAACACATCATACAAACTGGGTGGAAGAAAGAAAACAATGGGTCTAAGAGAGCAGACAGGGGAAAGAAATCACAGAGGGCTTCCCTGAGGAGGTGGCATTTGAGTGGAGAGGGGAAATCCCAAGATGAGCAGGTGAGGGGCTGTGGGAGCGAAGGGAAGGGAAAGCACCCCACGTAGGCAGGGGTTGGATGATGCAAAGCTTTGCAGGTCCTCGTAAGGAGCTGAGATTTACCCTATGAGTTCATCCAGTCTGTTGGCCAGGAGGGAAAGGCTAGATGGAAGTGACCAGGGATATATGTCCATATGTAACCTGCCTGAAGGAGGAAGCTCTGTGCTCCCTCAGTGAATCTTTGTCTTCTCTTTCATGATGAAAAATTTTAAACTCCTACAAAAGTGAAACAGTATAATGAATCTCCATGTTCCCATTATGTAGCTGCAATAATTACTAACTCATGGCCAATCTTGTTTCGTTTATATTGCCACGCACTTCTCCTGTATCACAGTGAAAGAACTCCCAGACATGGTAACATTTCATTCATAAATACTTAATTCGATTTAAATATCTAATCTCTATTTGCTTAATAACATTATATCTCAACGAGCTATGTGTTTCACTGATTAGATTAGGATTCCCCGTCTAGGAGAGATTTTATGCAGACACCAGTTGGTTTCGAGGTCCACAGCTTCTAACTCAGGGCCTGGCACAAGGAGGGACTTAATGGACAGTTATTGATGGAATGAAGGAACTCGTGACCTGAATTTTTAAAAATGTCCATGAGTCAGAACATACTAGTAGACCGATCAATGTGTCCATCTTGGCCTCAGCTATGGGATCTTGCACCCTAAGCATAAAACTGAAGTACGAAAACCTCTGTTCTCTCCCTCGCTCATGCTTCACTTCAAATTCGGCACCCCAGACACAAGCCATTGAGAGTGACTATATTACATGTTCCAGACGGAGCCAAGACCATCATGTCAACGCCAATTAAGAGGGGCTCTGGTCGCTCTGAAGGGTTCAAGAGGATGGCAAGCTTCAATGGAATAAACCATGAATTGAGAAGAAACTTCAGTCACACCATCTCTGCTCACCTCGGTATCCCCAGGCACTAAATGGGCACAGAATATGAATGCTCTATGTGCCTTTCTCTAAAGGTCGTGTCTAAGACAGAAGAACCCCATGCCCTCTGAGGACCGTAGCCATCAATCTCTCTCCCTGCTTCTATTTTGAGCTGATTGTGACTGTCCTGCTATTCTCTAAACTGGACCTTCCTCTGGCTCCCGATCCCCTCCAGAATCATGCACACACCACAGGGCAGAGTCTGTAACTTTAGATCAGCAGGTCCCGCCTGCCCCAGAGAAGTTAGTGCATTCCCAGGCTGCACCACATTTCCTCCTGGGGTAAGTTTCCAAGGCATCAGAGCAAGGAAAGTGATAATGGTCTTGGTTGAACACATGATCCTATTTCTGGTGCTTATAGGGAAAATGGAATTCCGGGAGGCCTTGCTAAACTTCCAGTTAGATCTCCATGTGACTGGGACCGGAAGGTGCACTTGAGCGTGTGTGTTGAATATGGGCACATATCGATCCATCGACTTTCCAGGGATCAGCCTCAGCCCTACAGGACCCCTCTCTTCTCTCCCTCACATGGAACAGAGGGAAAAGGTTTAGAATCATTAGTAACATGAGCTTTGGAGTCAGACAGGTTCAAATCCCACCAGTGCCCTTGGCTGTGTGACCTTGGGCAAGTCACACAACCTTTCTGAACATCTGTTTCCCCAATCATCAAATGAATTTCAATTTCGTTATGTCATTGTGAGAGTTATAAACAAGACAAGGATGGCAAACATCCCTGCATTGAATACACAGTTCTGGGCGCACAGCAAGCTCTCCATATGG